TTTTTCCCAAGCAGGGAAATACCACACAGTGACTGGTAATCCAGACCAGATGGGAAACATGAAAGAAGTATACTGATAGGTGTCTAAGGGTCAGGGTGAAGCCTGGAGCAAATTTCAGGCATGTGAAAAACCGGTAAGAACAAGGCAGACTCCATTTATAGTGTGACTTCAGCAGACAGGTTCTGAAGGCTCAGATACAATCAGTTAGGGCCCAAAGGGGATGTGAGAGCTCAGAGCAGTGCAGACCAGTCCTCGGAAGCAGAGTGATGGGGAGTATTGGGGAGGTGGACTTCTTACATTTTTTGCCAAGGTTAAGGTTGGTTGTACAGAGTTAAACAGATCCACTAGTTAAAGTTCAGGGGCGAGAGTAGACCCAGCACTGAAAGAAGGTGATTTGTTTCAAAGGCTCAGCATCCAGCAGAACCCTTACAAGGAGGCAGAGCTTCCTACACAAAGCTTCTGAGGGGGCTGGGGATACAGGTCTGTTGGCTGAATGCTTGCCTATCATACACAAAGCCCTGGGTTTTGTCCCTGACAATGCCTGAAACTAGGCATGATAGTGTATGACTATAATATCAGCACTGGAGAGCTGGAAGCAGGAGGATCAGAGGTTCAAGTCTGCACAGTCAGGGTGACACTCAATGGGGGACATGAGAGAAAACACACCAACACACAAAAAGCCTCCATAGCGCTCTGGAATTCCAAAGGAATTTGCATGATTAGAACGTCACAAATGACATTTGGTATACAATTGCAACGTTATATTTTGCTGGGCTTCACAGGTTTTTCACCATTGAGATATTTTTGGAAGAAAGTTTGAATTTGTTGCCAGGCATCCACCTGTGCCCTTGCCTGAGCTCTTGGCTCACCTCCATAGAACACTGCTTCACCCAACACCGCATGAACAGAAGCCCTGGAGGGAGGGAAATACGGTGGGTCAATACAGTGACCAGTTTCTGGATAGTAGATTATCTGGGGTCTGTCTTTTCCATGGGCTTGTAGATGTCCACAGGCTATATGAGCATAGAATTCACTCTTCCAGTTATGATCATCCATTCCCACAATAAACAGGAAGGGTCCCTGGGCTTTTTCCAGTGGAATAAGACTTTTGCGGTTAGGTTCCTCCAGTGGGTTGTTCCAAATATCCACCAAATCCAACAGGCCTGACTCCGTGGTCTTTTGTTTTGTTGGGTCACAGCCAAGATCTGGAACAAGCAGATCTTTGTAATACAGAGGAGCTATTGTGTTGGCCACACAGGCGTTGATAAGGACAGTGGCCGTGATGTTCTTTAGGAAAGCAGCCATCGAGAGGCACAGGTCACCGCCTTTGGAGAAGCCAAGGAGGCCAACATTTGGGCCTTTCACCTGATAAGGAGAGGAGAGACAACAAGTGTGGAGTTCATGAGTGGAAAGTGTGTGGTCCTCCAAGTACCTTGCTCAATATAACTTCTTGTCCTGCTCACATGATTACCTACAAAGTTTAAGCATGCCTGCTAATAGGCAAATGAATTGATTTCTGAGTATGTACACCATCTAATGTTTATAAAGACAGGTTAAGAGTATACATAGCCGAGTGTTAGTGGCGCATGACTTTAATCCCAGCACTTGGGAGGCAGAGGCAATTCCCTGGAAGTTCAAGGCCAGCTTGGTCTACCGAGCAAGTTCCAGGACAGGCTCCAAAACAATACAGAGAAACCCTGCCTTGAAAAAGCAAAACAAAACAACAAAAGAAAAAAAAGAGTATACATAAAGGTACTTATAAACTAAATTAGTAAACAAATTATTATTTTCCTTACCTTGATGAATATATCATCATAAAAATATATGTAAGACTGTTGGATGGTGGTGCACTCCCTTAATGCCAGCTCTTGGGAGGCAGAGGCAGGTGGATCTCTGTGAGTTCAAGGCCAGCCTGGTATACAGAGCAAGTTCCAGGACAGCCAGAGCTGCTACACAGAGAAATCCTGTCTCAAAAAACCACCCGCGCGAGTGCGTGTGTGTGTGTGTGTGTGTGTGTGTGTGTGTGTGTGTGTGTGTGTGATCAAGCTTAATTTAAAATCTTAGAACTTGCTGGGTGGTGGAGCACACCTTCAATCTCAGCACTTGGGAGTTAACTCGGTCTTCCAGAACAGCATGGCTACACAGAGAAACCCTGTCCGGCATTGAAAAAAAAATTTCAGAACTCACATATGTATTGATGTAGCAAGAAAATCCTCATGGACCCCAGATCCTGGATCCCAACCCACCCTACCTCCTTCTCTTTCCATCACGGCTTCTTTTGTGCACCTTAAATGGCCTTCATTATGTGTGGACACACAGCTTACATGTTTAAGGTCTAGTGCATATGTTCTGGTCAATACAGGGAAGAGGCACAGGGCTTGGACACATGGTCAGAGATGCCAGGCAAAGAATGTGGGAGTTCCACACCCTAAGAGTGTGACTAAGAGCATATGGGCTCCAAGGAAACAAATTTGCTTGACTCTTCAGACTCCTCAGTCTGTGGGAGAGTCCAGCCAAAGGCAGACCATAGCAGGGTAATGCGAAACAAAGAACCCAGGCCAGGAACCACTCTTGCCAGGGCCTAAGGGGTCAATATACAATGCATTTTGACTTCTTATTTTTCTAAGGCCTTAATTTATCCCCTTAATAAAACCATCACAGTTCCAGATCATCTGGCTGACCTGGAACTCACAGAGGTCCTCCTGCCTTTGCCTCCCAAATGCTGGATTAAAGGTGCATGCTACTATGTCCAACTCATTTAGGTTTTAATAGCTCTGCTTAGAGTTGTCCCTGAACTCCAACAAAGTTAGAGCATCCTACAGTCTTTACAGAACATCTTATCCCTTAACATTAGATGTTCCAGACTCCAAGTTTAGATGGCAACAAAAGTTTGTGTCATTCCTCTTACATTCACAAAAAATATTTAAAATAAATTTTCTGCTATCAGATACTTCATAAAAGCATAATAATGGTGTTAGGGTTATCACTGCTATGATAAAATACCATGACCAAAGCAACTTGTGAAGGAAAGGGTTTATTTGGCTTATACTTTCACACCTCAGTCCATCATAAAGAGCAAGATCCTAGAGGCAGGAGCTGATGCAGACATCTTGGAGGAGAGCTGCTTACTGGCTCCTCAGGGTTTGCTCAGCCGACTTTCTTATGGAACCCAGGAACACCAGATGGGGTGGCACCACCCACAAGGGGCTGGGCCCTCCCCCATCAATCACTAATTTAAAAAAAGCCTCATGTGCTCACCTACAACTCAATTTTTTAAAAAGACTTATATTTATTATGTATACAGTTTTCTGTCTGCATGTATAACTGCAGGCCAGAAGAGGGCACAAGATCTCATTGTAGACGGTTGTGAGCCACCATGTGACTGTTGGGTATTGAACTCAGGACCTCTCGAAGAACAACCAGTGCTCCTAACCTCTGAGCCATCTCTCAAGCCCTGTTATAGTCCAATCGTATAGAAGCATTTTCTCAACTGAGGTTCCCTCCTCTCTTTCAACTCTAGCTGTGTCAAGTTGACATAAAACTAGCCAGGACAGTAATTTTTATAACACTTACAGCACTGATGAGAATCCTTAATACTATCAAAACACCATCCCTATAGTCTCAAAGATACCTCCTGTCAGACAAACATTTCCCACTAACGACTTACATTAGTGTTAGTAACGAGGAAACTCAAACCTCCGAGATACCAGATGCCTTGCTTGGGCAGTTGTGGGAGGAGAATTCAAGGTTAACAGTTTCTTGGTGCAGTGCTTTAGAGTTATGGTAGTCAGGAATGGAACTGAACAGTCAAATGTTAAGATAGAAAGATGGGCAGAAATAGGAATAATCTTGGCAGCTGTTGAGGGAGTGCTTGGGCTCTGGCCTTGAGTCCATCCACGCCCCCTTTGCCTTCAGGACAGCACTGGAACCCACCTTTGGATGCTGCAGCATAAAGACCAAGGCTTCTTCAAAGTACTCCAGGTGCACATCGCTCAAGTATTCAGGGAGGTCTTCAAATCTGAAGTAAGCCAGAGCGAGTACAGCAAAACCGTGCCCAGCCAGGAGGCTGGCTCTGTATTCACACAGGCCACCGCCACTTCCAAACAAATCCATGACACCAGGGAACCTCCCCTTGCCTGCAGAGCACCACATATCACATCACAAAATGCCTTAGCTGCTCAAAAGACATTGGGGGATTCAGATTTTGGCAATCAGCAAGGAAAAGTCTTGGTGGCCATTTTTATTCAAGCCACCACAAATGTGTGTGCTATCTTCATGTGAGTGCGTGCGTGCGTGCGTGCGTGCGTGCGTGTGTGTGTGTGTGTGTGTGTGTGTGTGTGTGTGTGTGATGGCAACAGCATCTTCCACCTTCTTTTTTTTCTTTCTTTTTTTTTTTTTTGGTTTTACAAGACAGGGTTTCTCTGTATTGTTTTGGAGGCTGCTGGTCCAGCCCAGCCTTGAACTCAGAGATCTGCTTGCCTCTGCCTCCTGAGTGCTGGGACTAAAGGTGTGCACCACCACCGCCCGGCTTCCTACCTTCATTTTTGACAAACAAAAATCTCGGCAGATATTGCCAAATGCCTTCATGGACGGGCAAAAATCACCCTAGGCTGAGAACCATCATCACCATGTTTATGGTGGGGGAGGGGTTGCCAGGGATATTTGTCTGTGTTTCAATGATTAGGGAACATTGTGTACATTTGTGGGTTTAAGGCTCTTTGAAAGTTTGATGTAAAAGGAGGCAAAAGTCACTTTTAATACAGCCATAAGTTATTGATTATATCAGTACGTAAAATGCATCCATGTGACTGGCACTTAGTGGATTTCAATAATGTAAAGTTGACTGCCTTAAGGGGATGAGACTTAGAAAAAAGTTTCCATTTAAAGCGACTGGCAGGCTTTGGAGAGTGGAAGTTATACAATTATGTGATTGCCCTGCCAGGTCTACGCTGGACCAGAAATTAGACTAGGATGCCAGCACAGGAGGGAGGGCCGCTCACCTGGAGGCAGGAAGAGCGTGGCGCGCACGCGGCCCTCGCGCACGGGCACGCGCCGCACCCCGGGGGCCATGAAGTGACGCTCGTGCACCGCCCGCGCCAGCAGCCGCCCGCCGTCGGAATCGTGGCCGTCCAGCACCTTCAGCTCCACCACGAAGGGCGTCTGCACGTCGCGCTTGATCAGGCGCCAGAAGGGCCGTTCGGGCTCCATGGCCCAGAGCAGCCCCATGGGCTCGATCCCGGAGAAGCTGCCGCCCAGCGCGGGCGCGCGCGCCAGGTCCAGGTCGCCGCGGGCGTCGGCGCGGTAGCGCGCGTGGGCGCGGAAGAGCGCGCCTTTCTCGTCTCGCAGGGCGGCGTGCAGCGTGACGGGCTGCTCGGGGGCCAGGCCGTGCACGGCGATGCTCAGCGGCTCGTCCCAGCAGCTGCGGCCCGCGGGCTCCAGGCTCAGCGTCACCGCCATGTCAGGGCTGGAGCTCGGAGCCAGAAGCCGCAGGGAGCGCCACGCGAGTCCGGAGCGGAGCCTGGCCTGCTGTGGAGCAGACCTGGCGGGTCTCTGGGAGTTCTTGACCCGTGAGTCGGGCACCTCAGACAGAAACCGGGTTGATGACTCCCGAGCTGACAGGGGAGGTCAGAGGTGCAGTGGGGCCGAGCCAGCCAGCCAGAGGATTCTGCTCACGTGGTGTTGAGGCTGGGTAGTGACACTAAGTGAATAAGATCAAGGCAGAGTCCGGCCCTTGCGTGGATTCAGTAGCAGGGGTTTTTGTTTGTTTTTGCAAAAACAAACAACTTTTAAATACTGTTACTTTTAAGCATTTTTTGCTACGTAGGTAAATATGTAAGGTTGGATAATGTATAAATAACAGAGATTTATGTCTTATGGCTTTGAAGTCTGTGAAATCCAAATTGGGGATTGGGCAATATTTAGTCATTGGTAGTGGAAAGCAAACAGCACTCAAATGGGGTGCAATGACCCAGAGACAAGAGTGTTAGTATTCAGGCATCTGTACTGGCCTGCCCTTGGGGTCCTGACAGGATACCCCTCAGCTGCAGCCACTAAGAGCCCACCTGTGCACACTCACTATGCTCCCTTTTAAAAGGGCCCTGCCCCTCCCATCCTCCTCCCTCCCTCTCCCTGTCTGTCTGTATGTCTGTCTCTCTGTCTCTCTCTCTCTGCCCCTCTTTCCTATCTCCTGCTGCTCCTGTCCCAGAGGTTGGTCTCCCCCCCCTTTTTATGATCCCTTTCCCTAATTAAAAACAAAACAAAACCCTCTGCTTGAACCCTGTGGCATAGTATATTTCTCTCAGTCGTGGCTTTTCTTAAATTACAACAAAGAGGATCATTGTAATTCAAAGCCAGTCTGGGAGACCCTGTTTTAAACAAACTCATAGACAAAGCATGCAAGAAAAAAGGCCACACATCCTTCAAAGAGAAAATTATAGATGATCCGCTCCTGCTGTGACCCACTCCATTTACCAGCGTAGCGTCTTCTTTAAGTTTCCACCTACCCATACTGGGACAGTTATTAAGTTTCTACGACACAAGTTTTGAAACATAGCAAACTCACATACAAAAAGAATAGGTTGGTTGTGTGAAGATAGTTTATACACACAAGACCAGGCAGGCATATCCTTATAAGGACAAGATTCAGAAATAGATCTCTCACTTCCAGACCCTAGGAGTCACTCTTCTGATTCAGACTTTTTTTCCTTTCCAAAAGATAATCGTTTTAGAGTATATGGGAGTCATCATTTTTTGTTTTTGTTTTTTATCTGTGTACATGCTTGTACCCCAGGAGAAGGCATCAGACCTCATTATAGATGGTTGTGAGCCACCATGTGGTTGCTGGGAATTGAACTCAGTACCTCTGAAAGAACATGCAGTGCTCTTAACCTCTGAGCCATCTCTCCAGCCCCCAGGAGTCATCATTTTTTATTGTAAATTAACCATTGAGCTGTCCCTACTGGACTGTATACATATTGAATTACACATCTGATTGCCAATGGTTGGAATTTGGGGTTAAGATATTCACTGTTGCATCTTGTAACAGTAATAAGTTGTTTTGCATTTCTGGATTGATGTATTAGACTTATTATAATAAAATGTCCTTTTTGTTGTTGTTTGTGTGTGTGTGTGTGTGTGTGTAGCTTTGGAGCCTGTCCTGGAACTAACTCTTATAGACCAGGCTGGTATCGAACTCACAGAGATCTGCCTACCTCTGCCTCCTGAGTGCTGGGACTAAAAGGGTGTGACACCACCACCTGGCTTAAAATATATAATTTTTAACTTAAAGAAAAGATAATTGTTTTAGTCAGGTTTGCATTACTGCAACGAGATATCCCAGGATATTATTAATTTATGAGGGAAAATGTTTAAAGTTTTTGTGGAAGATCTGGGGGCTCTGTTGTTGGAGTCCCTAGTGGGCATACCAGATAGCAAAATAAGATCCTATGTACACATCACAACTTAGAAACACATTAGGATTCTACAACTCCATCCATGGTACATTCCCAGTGGCCTAAAGATCTCCTAGAAGTCATCACCTTTTAAAGATTCGGGTTTTTTTCTTTTTCATTCTTGTTCTTTTGGTTATCTGAGATAGGGTTTTTTTGTGTAACTTACTCTGTAGACCAGGCTGACCTCCTACTCAGAGATCCCCCTGCCTCTGCCTCCCAAGTCCTGGGATTAAGTGTGAGCCACCACTGCCTGGCTACAACTGGGAATTTTAAAAGTCTTCTTTTCATCTCATTTCGAAGCCATTTAATCTAAAATTGTCTGTACATAACAGAGTCATCCTTTGTTATGATGTGGGGATTCAACTTGAACTCATTATTGGTACCTTGGTTATAACTGTCTTGTAGGCTATTCTGTTACATACCCCCAGCACTTAGGAGGAACAGAGACAGTCAGCTAAGCAATTTGTGCCCACCTCTGCTGTTCAGATTGGTTTTTTAACTGACAGTAATAAATCAGAGGGGACTAGCTACATCAGTTCTCATAGCCCAATTCTGCCAAATGTAGGGCAAAAATGCTTTATCTTATGACAGGATGCAAAAATTTCCCTGTCACATTTCCGTCTGTAAGTCTCCAGTAAACTTTATCCTGTTTAACTCTGGAGCTGTCTGTTTCTTTTGCTGGTCTCCTGGTGTCTATGACTTTAGGCTTCAGTTCTGGTTGGCGCATCAGGACCAAGTCTGTCGAAGCACAGTCCACATGCCTCCTGAGCACAAATGGCTTAGAAACTTTGGCGAACCATTCCCTTTTTATTGTTTCCATTCTTCCTAAATTCTTAAATGAAATGAACCTTATGGTGTCTCAGAGTTTGTCTACCTGCAGCTACCAGAATTTATAAGTGGAACAGGGTGTGCTTTGTAATTGACCACATTTTGAATTTTTTTAAAAGATATTTTCTTTAGAAAAAAGTCTACGATTATCTTATTTCTTCTAAACTGGTATACAGTGTTCTCAGATATCAAGTGTGAGCATTGTCTGTTAAGTTTGTGGCTCTGTTTGCTCACTGTGCTTTTTCAGATTCCCGTGTTGGTTTTCCTAATAGTCTTTTATACCTATAAACAAAGACTAAATTTCTAGTTGTTGACTTGCATGGGATTTTACTAGACACCTCATATTCTCTGTTTCAGGAGACATTTGCACTTCATTCTGTGGGGAGGATCTGCCCACCCACAGTACACATATACACTGTTGGTGGCTTGTTGCCTCTGAGTCAACATTAAATCTAACCATCCACACATTGGCTTGGGAACTCAGTGACTGGTGCATGCAAACCCTCCCTTGCTACACAGAGCAAGGGGAATGAAGGGAAAGGACGACCTGAGAGATGAGGCAGTCAACTGGAAAGAGGCCAGACTGAATCTTTGTGATCGACTGCCTTTGGTTCCCCATCCCGAAAGAATCTGATGGCTTCCACTGACCGGAATGACTACGGTCAAGGACACCGATGACAGCTTATTCTGGAGAGGATGTGGAGAAAGGGGAACATTTCTCTGTTGCTGGTGGGAGTGCAAACCTGTACAGCCTATGTGGAAATCAGTATGGCGATTTCTCAGAAAATTAGGGATCAGGCTACCTCAAGACCCTGAAATACCACTTGGAGGAAGTGATTTTACGTATCCGTAAGCGCTGACAACTCCCATGTGGATGTGTTCACAGGTAAATGGAGCTAGGGGGAGGGGACTCTCTCTCTTTGGGTTTCGGTTTCCACCTGGAGAGCAGCATGTGGACCAGCTTTACTGGCTTTTCATGTGATTTCTCTTTCAATAAATATCATAGGACATCTCTAAATTTGTGTAGTTTAATATTTCTGCTTCAGCTGGTGTCAGAGTGGTTCACTCAGCCCCCAAAACTCAGGTTCAGTGAGGCAAGCCCCCAGGACGCCTTGGCGTCCCGAAAAGCAGCAAGGCTGTGGTTTTTTCTGCACGCTCCTTCAGAGCCATTCTAGCCCCTCCCCTCCCTGCTGCACTAGGAAGCCTCGATGCTTGGTTGGTTGCGGGGGACTTTCCCTGTCATCACATGCTGGCCCCGTTTGAGCTGCTCAGCTAGCGCTGTGCCCTCCCTCTCCCCAACCTGAAAGCGAGCGCACCTACCCACTCCCAGCCTGCATTCCCTGTTCCGCCTGAGTCTCCCAATCTGCACAGGCTTTTCCCTCCCCGAATCTGTTTGCTAATTTTCTGTACAAACTGTTTAGACTCTTGCAGCGGTTACTTGGAAAAATACTGAGGTTTCACGGAGGAGCTGTTTGGTGGCACACCTATGTCACCCGCTGGCCAAGCATAGTCATTGCAGGTAAACATCCTTTTCTCAACTGGGAGATCATTAGAGGTAAAATTAGGCATTCTGGTAGTTAAGTTTGTGATAAGGTTACCTACTCTATACCATGGCAGATAATCTCACGGTGCATTGCTTATTACATGAATGACATCATGGGAGAGGATTATAACATCCCACAAATATATTTATATCTAATGCTAACAATTAGCTTCATAATCCACATAATATCCTGGAAGAGAGGACTTGATCATAGGGCAGAAAGCAGGGAAGTTGTGCAAACTATTGGTAAATTAGAGACAAAAATGCAAACTCTTCGGGTAAATGGGGAAATTGTACAAATGATTTAAAAATTAGAGTAAAAAATTCAGGATCCTCAGGAAAAGGGGACTTAGCCACCAAAATGGATAATTTGGAAATTAATCAGAAAAACCTTCAAGATACATTTATTTCAATGTCCACTGCATTTATGACCAAAAGAGTCCAGCCAGGAGGAAGTTACCAAATTAACAAAGACAATTCACTCTATATCTGAAGACAGTGGCCACCTAACAGACAGGATGATATTTCTAGAAGGCAAGGTAGATGCCTTTAGAGCCTCTAGGGATGATGGTATGAAAGGTTTGGAATCACGCTTGACTGACAAGTCCAAGGAGTGTATCAAGTCATTGGAACACTTTTTCATTTAGGAAATACAAGCGCTCAGAGATGATATGGTCACAAGGTTGCAATCTTTAGAAGATTCACCATTTGAAATATCAGGCACTAGCCACTAGGCCACCAGGCAATGAAAGAGGTATACCTACTAGATGCCTAGAAGACCTTCCTAAGGTGGCCTTTCCAGTAACTGTGACAGAAAGGCCAACATCACGGAGGAATCAAAATGGGTCCACCACTTACCAATGGGAACCTATTCCAATGAAAGATCTGAAAGGAAAAAGCAAGCTATCATAGCTTATTGGGTTCACAGCCCCTATGTGAAGGAATTGTTGAATTCTTGGGCAAGAACAAATAAGATCACACCCACAGATTGGGATAATTTAATATCAGTGGTGCTAGACCATTCTTCCCAAATACAACAGAAGGCTTTGTGGAGACAGGAAGCCAAGGCCCTCAAACTTCAAGGCTTGAAGCAAAACTTTGAGGCTTCCCAAGATAAGAGTCTTGGCAAATGGGGAATATGCTGATTCACAGGCCCAAGCTGAATTTGATTAACATCCACTTTCTTTATGTCATACATAATGCTTTGAATAAGGTTCATGAACCAGGAGAAAAAGTTGAACCATATTCAAAAGTGGTACAGGGTTCTAGAGAAAGGTTCCCTGAATTCTTACAAAGATTATCCAGAGCAGTAGACTTACAGGTAACTGATTCAAATACTAGGTGACTCCTTATAAAATTTTTAGCTTATGAAAATGCAAATTCACAAGGCAAATGGATCCTGTGGCCATTAAAGATCAGATCAGCGCCATTGGCCCAATGGATCTTGTATACAGCTAATATTGATAATGATTGTATAATGCTCCAGAGACAGGAACTTGGGTAGGAGAGGCCATTTCTAAAGGCCTAAAGAGGCACCAAGATGGCAAATGGCCTAACTGTGAGGAGATACAGACTTGGGTTGGAGAGGCAATCTCCAGAAGTTTAAAAAGACATCATAATAAACATTTTAACTGTGGTAGAATAGGATGTTTGAGTAGGAACTGTAGACACAGCATTCCTAGAAATAATTCTTCTCCTAGAAATGATTCAAATAGATAGCCTCAGCCTCCTGGTTTGTGTAGGAGATGTGACAAGGGCTAACACTGGACCAATGAATGTAGGTTGACCACAGACAAACAAGGTAACCCTCTACAATCGGGAAACTCCTCAAGGGGTCTCTCAAAGTTTCCCATATCAAAAGTGGTCCAGTCATTCCCAGTCGCTGTAGATTTCTCTCAGGACAATTAGAAGATCCACTGCCTATTGTAAAGACTAATGGCACTGCGGATGACAGATTACTTATTAAGGATGAACCAGCTGATACTAGAGGAAATGAAAAATGTGTATTTTGGCAGATCTCTTTCAATGACAGGAGGCCAAAATTAAAAATACAAGTAAATAACATTATTCTGGAAGGTTGGTTGGTACTGGAAGAGATATTTCTATTATAACTCAAGAATTATGACCTAAAAAATGGCCTCTACAAGTTGTAAACATCCAATTGTTAGGGATCAGGACTCTATCTCAAGTAAGACAAATACTAGATAGGTAGAGTGTATTGGACTAGAAAGACCAAGAGGAAAATTGAGGCCATGTGTTGCAAATATTGCTATAAATCTCTGGTATTGTGATTTATTACAGCAATGAAACACCCAGATTAACATTCCTCCTGTGTCAGATATGAATCATAAGCAAACTGTTAGTGGTAGAAAGAATATTGTAAGGAACTGTGGTAAACATTTGCAGATTATACAGGCTGTACAGTTACAGGATGCTAGTGACACACTTACAGAGGAACCAAAAGCCGTGCCCTTAAAATGGCTAACAGATAGATGAACCTGTCTGGGTAGGGCAATGGCCTATGACCTCTGAGAAGTTAGAGGCTTTAGAAAAGTTAGTTCAGGAACAGCTTAATGCTGGACATATTGAAGAATCTATAAATCCATGGAATTCCCCTTTATTTGTTATCAAAAAGAAGTCTGGAAAATGGATGATGGTTACTGATCTGAGAGCTATCAACAAGGTAATTCAGCCTATGGGCTCTCTACAGCCTGGTATGCCACTGCCTTTCTCTAATACCTAAAGGATGGCCAATTGTAGTTATAGATTTAAAAGATTGCTTCTTCACTATACCTTTACAAGAAAAAGATAGGGAAAAATTCACCTTCACAGTGCCTACTTATAACAATTCTCACCCAGTACGGAGATTTCAGTGGAAGGTGTTGCAACAAGTAATGTTAAATAGTCTGACTTTGTGCCAGTATTTTGTGCAAAAACCCTTGGAAATGATTCATAAACAATTTCTACAATTATATGGATGATATATTGTTGGCTGATTCAAAAAAGGAATGTTGGAAAAGATGTTTGAGGCAGTAAAGGAAACTTTGCCTCACTGGGGATTACAAATTGCCCCAGAAAAAATACAAAGAGGAGATTCTATTAATTATTTGGGCTATAAAATAGACTTACAGAAAATTAGACCACAAAAGGCACAGATCAGAAGAGATTGTTACCAGACTCTAATGATCTTCAAAAATTACTAGGAGAAATTTCTCAACTACAGATAATTATTGGAGTAGAAGGGCATGATTTAAAACACCTGAAAATGGCCCTAAAAGGAGATAAGGACTTAAATAGTCCTAAAATATTATCAGCTGAGGCTGAAAAAGAATTAGAACAGAGAATATTGGAAGCACATGTGGACCGTGTGGGTCAAAAACTAGACTGCATTCTGGTTATTTTGCCATCCAAAGAATACCCCTCTGGAATGTTAATGCAGATGGAAGACATAATACTAGAATGGGTATTTCTGCCACTTAAACAGAATAAAAAATTGAAGACATATATAGAAAAGATCTCTAATTTGATATTAAAAGGTAAGTTAAGGCCTTGTCAATTAACTGGGAAGGACCCAGCAGAAATTGTTGTACCCTTAACAAATGAGGAAATTTCCTCCCTACAGAAGGATAATGAATATTAGCAAAGGGCTTGCAGTGACTTTTTAGGAACCATCAGTAACAATTATCCCAAAACAGAGAGAATCAATTTGATAAAGAAAACAATTTGGATCCTTCCATGTATTGTAAGAAAAACACCAATCTCTGGAGTTCATACATTCTATACTGATGCAAACAAGTCAGGTAAGGCGGGTTATAAATCAGGAAATATAAGTAAAGTAGTTCAAATCCCTTCCAACTCTGTACAAAAGGCAGAGTTGTATGCCATTCTCATTATACTTAAAGAGCCTCTCAATATAGTTATGGGTTCTCAGTATGCAGAGAGAGTCATCTCACACATTGAGACTGCAAAATTTATTCCTGATGATACAGAATTAACCTCATTGTTTTTACAATTTCAGGAAACAATCAGAAATAGAACTCATCCTATATATATAGCACATATCAGATCCCATACAGGTCTGCTGGATCCTCTAGCACAAGGTAATGACGAGATTGATCATTTATTAATAGGAAATGTGTTGGAAGCTTCAGAATTTCATAAGAAACACCATGTCAACAGCAAAGGCTTAAAGAAGGATTTTTCTATCACTTGGCAACAAGCCAAGGAAAAAGTAAGAAACTACCCGACCTGTTCATTCTACAATCAAACTCCATTACCAGCAGGCAGTAATCCCAAAGGTATTCATAGAAATAAAATTTGGCAAATGGATGTATTTCACTTTCCAGAATTTGGAAGTTTGAAATATGTACACCAGACCATAGACACGTACTCAGGCTTCCAATGGGCTACTGCCCTCAGCTCTGAAAAGGCTGACTCTGTTGTAACACACCTCTTAGAGGTGATGGCTGTTATGGGTATACGGGCACAAATAAAAGCTGACAATGCTCCAGCATATGTCTCCAGCAAATTGGAACAGTTTTTCAAATATTATAACATAAAACATGTAGCTGGTATACCTCACAATCCTACAGGACAAGCAGTGGTTGAGAGATCTAACCCCACCTTAAAAGATATGCTCATAAACAGCCAGGGGAAACAAGGACCCCCAAACACGGATTACATAATGCTTTACTAATGTTGAACTTTTTTAATGCTAATGAAAAAGGACAAACTCCTGTAGAAAGACACTGAACTACAGAAAAAACTTCTCAACTAAACCAAGGATGTGATGACATCAGTCTGGAAACCAGGATATGTGTTACTTTGGGGAAGGGGTATTGCCTTCGTTTCCACAGAAGAAAAGTTTTGGATTCCATCAAAATTAATCAAGATTCAATTAGAACAGAAGATACCTCAGAAGGAGGAAAGTTGACAGCTCATCCACAAAGCCATATTCTACAATGTGTAAGGTGACCTCACAAAGGAAGGGAAGTGTTTTGTTGTTGTCTTCACAGGAAAACTCAGCTCCAAACAGCGAAAAAATACTGGACGTATGGATACCTGAAGAAGAAAGGAGAGGACCATCAAACAAACAATAATCCACTGTGGTATCAATGTCTAAATCTCTCTATTTTGTTCTTATAATATCCATTTTTCCTTGCTTTTTATATACTTTAGTCCCAATTCATTTAACTGAAGCTGGCTTTGGAGTTGGATTGGCATATTGTTAAAATAAGATTTAGAATTTCTATATTATATCAAGGAGCCATTGATATAAGACAGAAGAAAACAAAACTAGGGACTGTCATCTGTTTATACTCGGTTCCTTTTCTGAAAGTCTAATCTCTTTCATGTTTACTGTCTTCCTTATTGCCTTTCCCTGTATGCATACATATAAAAGTTGAATTTTTCTTCGTTAACATTAGTTTTCCAGAGAACAAGGAATTTCTTAACAGCAATCCCCACATCATCGACTACACCTGACAAGCACCATCCTGAAATTGGTTTGGGACTGCATCATTCTGCACAACTCCAGCCCAAGGAACTGATACAGTGCACTTTCTACAATCTGGCCATAGCTTCAGACAAGAGCTTCCCTCAACATTAGAACTTCAGTCAAAAACTTCAATCAAGCATCTCCTGCTGAACAGAGACTATTTCATTTATTTAAGACTCTTGTCACACTCACATTTTCTTCCCACATGTTCCCATGAGAATGTCATCGTCCCATTTCAGTAGAAAGTAATTTTGAGAATACTATACCCCCTTTCCCTACTGTTGATATTACAGAATAGTTTACACCTGTCAGTGTTAGTTTTCAATTATTTTAGGGTTGGGATTGGAAGGAGGTATTCAGACTTGGGCATCTCTTTCAAATAAGCTTAGGTTTATATGGGATAGATATGCTTAGGATATGGGTAGATTATAATTTGTTTATCATCTTCTATGTATATATGCTTTATGTATGTTTGAGAATTTTGTTTATTGACACAATTTAGTTTTGTCTTAAGTCCAGATCTTTTCTTTAGACTAAAAGCGTAATAGTAGGGAGTGATTTTACATATCCGTAAGTGCTGACCACTCCCGTGTGGGTGTGTTCATGGGTACGTAGAATGTACTGTAGTAAATGGAGCTAGGGGGAGGGGACTCTCTCTCTTTGGGTTTCAGTTTCAATCTGGAGGGCAGTGTGTGGACCAGCTTTATTGGCTTCTCACTTAAGTGATTTCTCTTTCAATAAATATCATAGGACATCCCTAAATTTGTGTAGTTTAATATTTCTGCTTCAACCACTTTTGGGTATATACCCAAAGGAGGCACTCTCACACCACGAGGATATTTGCTCAACTATGTTTATAGTAACATTCATAATAGCCAGATCATGAAACAACCTAAATGCCCCACAGCTGAAGAATGGATAAAGAAAATGTGGTATGTTTATACAATGGAGTACTACTCAGTGGTAAGAAACAATGACATCCTAAATTCTCAGGTAAATGGACAGAACTAGGAAAAACCGTCCTAAGTGAGAACCCAAAACCAGAAAGACAAATATAGTATGTGCTTATTCATAAGTGGATACCAGACATAAAGCAAAAGATACCCAACCTATAATCAATAACCCCAGAGAAGCTTGAACCCTCTTCCAGAAACAGATGCAAAAATCCACAACTAACCAATGGGTCAAGCCCCTGGAGTACAATCGAAGTGAGGGAGGAGCGATAATATGAACAAAGGAGTCAAGACCATGATGGGGAAACCTACAGAATCAGCTGGCCCGAGCTAGTGAGAGATCACTGACTCAGGTCTAACACATGGGGAACCTGCATAAGACAGAACTAGACTCCCTTAATATAGGTGACAATGGTGTGACTGGGGCAATATATGAGGCCACTGGCAGTGGGGCCAAGACCTAACACTAATGCACAAACTGACTTAGTGGAGCCCAGCCTAGACACAGGGGTATGGGAATGGAGAGGTGCCTTGTCCTGCCCCAAGGAGATGATGGGACAGACTTATTAGACTTCCTAGGGGTGGCCTTACCCTCTCCTAGGAGCAAATCGGAAGTGCGGGCAAGTGAGGGGGAGCAGGAGGAGAGGAGGGAGGGGAAACTGGGATTGGAATGCAAATAAATAAATAAATGTTAAAAAAGAAAGAATCTGATGGCTGCAGACGAGGTGGAAGACAGTTTAGGATGGCATCCACTGTGCTCTCAGGTTTAAAGATTCAGTTCCTGCCCCTTGGATGCCCTGAGTGAAGAGTTGCAAGGGCTCAGGTGTCCCTCCTTTTCTTTCCATTGTACAGGCTGCATTCTTGTCACGAAGGCAACTGGCTCAGCCTTATGTATAATCGTGGGACTCCAGCATGTCAATGTTGCCTTAATTTCAGGTTACTGAGCATTCAGGATAGAGGAAAACAATCTTGTTCCAACTTCCAAAACCCGAAAGCTTGATTTCTATTCTTCAACTGAGCGTATTTATTATAGTTGCTCCAAGGCTTAAACTTTCCCCCATTTTCTTTCTCTTTTCTGCCTATTTTGGAATTTCTAATTTAAAAGGAAAACAGAGCAAAGGGGGAACACACACACACACACACACACACACACACACACACACGAATGCAGCTCTCACAAAGGTCGTGTGGAGTTAGGGACTATGTCATCTCTGTATCCTCTTGCCTCAGCCTCCTGACAGCTGGGATTACAGACATGAGCCACCATGCCTGGCAAGAGCCAGGGCTAAGCATGTTTCCTGACCCCACTCTTTTAGATAACATTTACACACGTGCTTTTTTTTTTTTTTTTTTTTTTTGGTTTTACGACACAGGGTTTCTCTGTATTGTTTTGGAGGCTGTCGGTCCAGCCCGGCCTTGAACTCACAGAGATCCGCCTGCCTCTGCCTCCCGAGTGCTGGGATTAAAGGTGTGTGCCACCACCACCTGGTTTACACACATGCTTTTTAACATGCTCCTCCTGCAACTTGTCACAAATGCAGAAATTCTGTATCAGGTTTGCAGGAATGAAAGAAGAGCGGTCTCTCTCTTCCCCAGGGCTTTGGCCACTGTCCTGTGGAACACCTGACTGGGCTTTATGGAATTCACAGCACAGCATGAGTGAACTTGGCATAGATGTGTGCTCTGTTGGGCTTCGTGAGACAGGGCAGAAGTTGATGGACAAATGGTTTTGTCACCAAATAAAATTAGAAGCCACAGATTTAAGGAATGTAGCTTCATACAGAGAGGGGAAACTGGATGGCACTGAGCTCTACCTCTACACTGACTATGCTAGAAGTTTCTGTAAGATGCGCTTCCTTGCATGTAAAGTGAAGAGCACATTAGCTGTAGATTGACAAGTACGTGGTTGGTGATCGCAGAAGGAACACTTTGCATTTCAGTGACAGATTTTTCAGAGAAACAAATTAAAAGGAAGGCACATTAATTTTGGCCTGATTTCAGGGGTGTTAGTGTAGTCACTGGCTTCCAGGGTTTTTGGCCTAGGAGCAGGCACATCATGATAGAGGGTTTACAGTAGCAAAACATCCATGGTTAGGAAGCAGAGAGAGATGAAAGTTTAATGCAGTCTCTCCAGTGACAGACTTCCTCAGGTGAGGCCGCTTTTCCCAATAATGTCATCGCATCAGTAATCCAACAAAGGATCAACTCATTGATTAAGTCAGAGTCTCAGAGATAAGATCATTCCTAAAAGCCAATCGCTATCAACCAAGACTTTAACACAGGGACCAAGGAAGATATTCCTGCTCAAACTGCAACAAACACCCAATGTTTTTCAGAGTCAAAAGAAAAATACATATCAGGATTTGATTGCCTTTAAAAAAATAAAATTAAGAACTGGGTGGTGGTGGTTCATGCCTTTAATCCCAGAACTCAGGAGGTAGAGGCAGGTGGATTTCTATAATTTGAGGCCAGCCTGGTCTACAGAGTGGGTTCCAGGATAGCTAGGGTTATCATACAGAGAAACCCTACCTCAAAAAAAATAAAAATAAAAAAATAAAACTGGAATCAGAACACAACAATAATAAATTAAGGTGCTTTATTTTAAGTATAGTTAAGGGCTTA